CCGCCGCCGCCGCCGCCGCCGCCGCCGCCGCCCCGCCGTTGGGGCTAGCGGCTGCTTCCCTCCCTGCTCCTTGCCCTACCTCCGGCCGAACCGGATGCACAACCCCTTGCAAAGGTCACGAGGGGGCCGGCTTCCGGGTTGACGGCGAAAACAATAACAACTAAACGGGCCGCGGAGGAGTAGAGCGGCAACTTCGTTTGGGTTTGGGGCCGGGAGGAAGAGGGAAGAGCTCGGGAAAAGTTCCTCCTCTCCGAAGGAGGACGACTCTCAAATGTCGCCGTCTAGAGAACGGGGTGGGTAATGGGAGTTGTAGTCCGGTGGGACTAGGAGAAGGAGGAGGAGGAGGAAACGACAGGAAAAGAAGTTCCACCTCAACATTAGGAAGAACTTCATGACAGTAGGAGCTGTTCAGTAGTGGATCATACAGAGGATAGAGCAAGATTGTTTCCTGTTGATCCAGAGACCAGGACAGGGAGCAGTGGATTAAAGCCGCAGGAAAAGAGATTCCACCTCAACATTAGGAGGAACTTCCTGACATTAAGGGCGGTTCAACAGTGGAACACACTCCCTCGGAGAGTAGTGGAGTCTCCTTCCCTGGAGGTCTTTAAGCAGAGGCTGGATGGCCATCTGTCAGGGATGCTTTGATTGGGAGTTCCTGCATGGCAGGGGGTTGGACTGGATGGCCCTTGTAGTCTCTTCCAACTCTAGGATTCTAAAAGCAGGGGTGCTGTCTCCTCAGAGTCCTCCCACCTCAGGCCTTCCTTTTGATCCGTTGCCTCAGGAGGCTCAAAATAAGCAAAAACAACCCTTCATCTGCTCTCAGGAGAGAGAGTTTTGTTACCAACTGCCCTCAAGTCAACCGCTGACTCATGGCGACCCTATGGATGAGACATCTCCAAGATCCTCTGTCCTCCACTGCTCTGCTTAATTCCTGCAAACCCATACTTGTGACCTCCTTAATAAAGTCCATCCAGCTAGTATGTGGCCTTCCTACTTTCCTCCACCTTCCCCAGCATATGTGGTTTCCAAAGAGTCCTCTCTTCTCATG